TATTTCTGACAGGAATCTCAAGAGGTCTGCTACGCAATAAGAAGAAATTTATCAATGCCGAGAAGAATTGGGAGTTAAGTAGCTCCATTATAGAAAATAATATTGCCTGCTAGACCCATCTGTTCATGACATACTCTTCACAATTTCAATAATAAATGTCAGGGTTTTTTTTTGTTAATGTTTTTTCATGGGAAGATGTGCATGCATGCCACTCAATTCTTATGTTTTTGCATATCTCTCACGCCTAAAATTCAATTTTTTACATATATGACTGGTCCGTTTGGGGCAGCTTATTTGGTACGGTGGCGTTTTAAAAATGCACTTGGTCTGTTTGGATAAACTGCGTTTTGTCAGCTTATGTGCTTTGAAAACGCTGAAAGCATCGTTTTCACATTGCACCTAGATAGGTATGCAGTGACAGCTTTCTGACAACGGTATGACTTTTTCGAAAAAATAAAAATTTGTAATTGTCACTGCACATGGTTTATCAACAGATTATTTTTAATCAGTTTATTAGCAAATTATTCAATAAGTTGCAGCTGACCCAAACAGACCTGACATCTTATCTGTGCATGAAAAAATATATATTTATTTTCTTAATAGTTAAAAATGGTGGTCTTTTTAATGTGACATGAAATATTTTGGTGCTATTAATATAAAAAAAGTAAAATTTTAGTATTATATATGCAAATAGATAGCAATTGTGTGGCTTGTATGTAAATGCCCTTTTTTGTTCATTTTCCTACTGACATTTCCCATGTTATAAGGGGGTGCCAGAGAAATTAGGAGCATTTTTGTTATCCGGACATCTGACGTAGATTTACGTGCGGCGTAGGTTATTCTTAATTTATTTTCAGGTTATTTCTATGTTATTTTCAATAATGTTAAAATAACTCAGAATTAACCCGCGATCTTTATTTTTGGGATATTTTTTTCAGTATTATTAAAAATAACCCAGAAATAACCTAAAAATAACTTAAAAATAACTTGGTCCGCACGTAGAGCTACGTCAAGAGTCCGCACAGAAATTTTTTTTAGAAATTAGAGGGAATATCTAAAGGACTTTTGGGAATTCATTAATTAGAATTTAATCAATTAAAGTAGATTTTATGGAGGGAGACAGCTAGAGGTTAAGGTAGTATTGCCTTCCTAATCTGTTTGTTTAATTCTTTATTGAAAAGCATTTACATACATACCACAACATTCTTATATATTTACATATCTAACAACCCAAAGCTTAATATTTATGGACTATCACCTACTTTAAAAGAGTTAAATAAACATATTCATGCATAGATCTGTCGCACCAAAATATTATAAATATAAATATAAAACTTTAGATGTCATATATGTATATATATAAGAATGGCATGGTATGTACGTAAATTTCCCTTCCTTATATTAATGAATTGATGGTTTCTTAATGCCTCGCTTCTTGCTTGCCTTCTCAATAAGTTGGTTATTCAGTCTCAATTTATGATGCATCTATTCAGATGTGAGGATATGAACATGATATGACATGAATAAGAGACGCCTCTTATATTAATCATTGTGTTACTTTAACAAGTAATACTAACATATTGTCTGAAACAACTGATCCCAACAAAGCAGGTAGAAAGTTGTCTGAAAAAACTGATCCCAACAAAAATATAATAGCATTACTATTTACCTTCTTCTTGGTCAAACATATTATCAAATATTACTCCAAAATTTGCCAAACCACACCAACCAAGTGACAGGGTTTCCACTCTCCGAAAAACAGACCAAAATCACAAAATGACTATTGTTACAAAAAATAGAATAAAAAACAAAGTCCATTCAAGTAGTCATACCAAATCAATTTTGATTGTTGTCACATTTAACAAAATAAATAGTAGAAATCAACCAAAGCACCAAATATACACAACAAAATTTCACTGACAACATAATGGTAGAAGTCAATTCCTAAACAGCTCCCTCTAAACTGAAATAAAACATAAATATAGAGTTCAATGAGATCTACTGGTCATCAGTGATGCTTCCCTTCTCACTCACATATATACCATCAAGAAACTTTCTGATGTCCTTGTTCTTCACATGGCATTTCTGTAATTAAAAAAGAAATATTAATTATTTCAAATAAAGAAAATCAGATATTATTTGAGGCATTTACATACGTGCCATCCAATTCCTATGTATATACATATCCAACACCTAAATTATAACTTTCTGATGGATTTGCTCTTCACAAGCCAATACATGTCACCCGTTTCATATGCATTTACATATCTAACACCTAAATTATACTTCTTACATTTATACTTCCCAAATCTTTCGTATCACATAAAAAACACCACCATTTTTTACTTTTGAAAAAATAAAATACACCTCATACAAAGGTGAGATGAAATGGTATGCATTTATGCAAATCTTCCTATTTTTAAAGTTGATTTAAAGTTAGAGCGAGAATGATGGACCTGATTAATTAAGGCGGCGGAGCGAGAGACGAGCTCGATATCATTTCCATCAAGGATTAGCTCATCCTTCACCTTTTCAGACCTGACAATGGTCACACCTTCAAGCATGTCCACCTTTCTAACCTGGAATGAAATAAATATCTATTAACTATAGAGACAAATATTAACAATCGAAAAATGGTATCTACCGTGCAATTAAGATAATTTCATAATGTATTTTGGAAAGATTTTCCGCTGATAATAAACACAGGAATGACAACTATTACCTGGTGAATAAAATGATTTTCCACAAGAATTCAAACAAAGCATATAAAGTGATTTTCTGTGCAAGTCATAAATAAATAAGCAGAAAATGGTATATTCATGACAAATAAAATATTTTATGCGGCGAATAAAAATGAAAAATCGCATTGATTTGAATGATTGCAGTTATACTTAATATTGCATCTTCGGGACCTCAAACTCAGTCCGAAGGCTTATAAATATGCCTGATTTTCACCCAAACATATCCAAAAATTCAACCGATTTAAGATTAGTAAATTCATTTAAAACTATTCATGTGTATTATCTTCGATGAAAAAAATTTCTTCAAAAAAACTTCTACTCCCTGTTAAAACAAAATTTGCTACAACCCATTTGACTACATAGAGCGTGTAAGAAGTTAAGCAATCATTTGAGAAAAACATTCACTTCTATTAAATGACTTAACTATATAGGCCAAAAAAATTTTGAAGCGAAAGAAGTTAAAAAACTTAGTAAATTCATTTAAAACTATTCAGGGTATCATCATTGATGAATAATTTTTTTTGGAAAGAACTTCTAGATTGTGCTAAAATAAAATTTGCCACAACCCATGTGACTACATAGAGCATGTTAAAAGTTAAGCAATCATTGGAGACAATATTCACTTCTATTAAATGGATAAACTATAAAGGCCAATACAATTTGGGGAAAGAGGTCAAAAATTTATTTTAAATAAAAGATTTCGATCTAATGTCACATATAGAAAAAAAATAAAGATTATTAATTCAAATTTTGAAAATGATGAATGTAAAGAAAGGCCAGCTATTAGTTTTATTTACAAGGCAATTGATGAGATAAAAAAATTAATAGCCTGTAACTTAAGAAGAGAGGTCAATTCAAGGGAGATTTTAAATATCAATGATGAGAAATGGGAGCTTCAACTCCACTGTCATATGCATACTACTGGATAATTTCGAAAACAACAATTTCAATATATTAAGAATAAGTCTACCAATTTTAAGATCAAGTCAGAGCATTATATGGATGGGTTTGTTGCTGACTCAATTGAGAGAGCAACTACTGATATGTAAATGATTCTATTTAGAAATAAAGAAAATTACTTTGGGATATGGCAAATTAAACATATTGTTGTAAAATGTCTTTTTCCAAATAATTTTAAATATTTAATGTCCTCATTAAAAAAATAACAACTCCAATTTTAACTTTCAAGCTCTAATTAACTGTGGATCCAATTTAACGTCACTCAAAAACTACAATGTTTTGATGTTAAATTTCTGAGATTTATATGCTTATCATCTGGATGTGAGCGCAACTGGAGTGGAGCATATATAATTTAATTTACAAAAAAAGAAAACTCATGTGACGACCATAAGAATGAATTTCTTAGAGTATGTCATGTATGACGAGATTGAAGAATATAAATATGAAAAAAAAAATTTTGAAGGATAATGACATCTCCTTCAAAGTGAAGATATGTCATCAGATGACGAATGTTTTGTATGATGATGACAACGAGATAACAATATATGAGTTTTATAAGATAAAAATGTTAAATTATTCAATGAAGACATGAACAAGGATAGCATTAATCACACAAAAATAAGGGTGAAAAGAAAATGTATCCACAAAAAATTAATATTTGAAGTTGCCTTATACTTTGTTTAATGTTATTAATTGTTAATTGGTTATTACTCATTAAAGATGAAAAAAATTACTAGGATTGAAGAGAAAACATCATGGATTCAACTGAAGTGAAGAAGAGAGAATAAAAAATAATTCATTTTATGATGACTCCAATGAAATCCCCATAAAAGTTAAGAGTGTTGAGGGCTTTTAATCATTTATTATATTCTTAATTGAATATTTGAATATTGTTGTGTAAGAAAATATGAGTGAGAAAAATTTATCAGGATAAACTCATTTATGACTTTACTTTGTTTTATAATTTATATTACTTTTATTTGATGACTTATTTTGGTTTGATGAATTGATGACAGCAGTTTGCACTACATTTTTGCTTTGTGCTTTTTGATGCATGTTATTTTGTAGTTTATGTAATTTGATAATTGATATAGGTACAATTTGTCTTTGTCCTTACTTTATTAGGATGTTAAAAAATCATTCTTTAATATAATTATGATGCTTAAGTCTTTGTCCTTACTTTATTAGGATGTTAAAAAATCCTTCTTTAATATAATTATGATGCTTATATATTAATTTTCATCTTTATTTGCAATTTTATTACAATGAGATTTACACGCCTAGAGGCTTAAGTTTTACATCATAAAAAAAAATGTCTTAAAACCCAATCACGCAATTTTAAACATTGATTAGGATTATAAAATCTTGAATTGAAAAACAATGAATTTATCGACAATGCTAAAACATAAGATGATGAACACAGTCACAAAAAAAAACTAAATAATAAATTTTTTAAAATGTAGTCTTGAATTTGTTAGTCAAATCTTAGTGTGGTTGTGATTTGTATACAAAATTAACAAAGAATGGCCCAAAGTCTAGGGGTGTCAAAAATTGGTCTGACAAGCCAACACAACTCAAACTCGACTAAAAAATTCAAGTTAGGGTCGACCCGAATATTTTTCAAGTCGGGTTCGGGCTAGAGAATTTGACCTGTTTGTTATTCGGGCCGAGTTCAAACTGAACCCGAAAACCCAAACATGACACAAATAACCACGAAATTTTGGGACAATTCGGTTTAGCAGGTCAAGATCGGGTTAGGGTCAGTTTTAGATCTTAGTTTTTGATTCATTTATAATTCGGTTCAATTTCGGGTTGATCCTATTCGCGTCAAATTATTTTTGCTTTGAACTCGAACCCGACCCACTGACATGAACTGACAACCCTAGCCCAAACACTCTAAGATCTAATCACTCAAATAGCTTGGCATTATGCTTGAGCAAACTTGATGTCATCAATAAGATTTGATAAATATCCAACCATCCAAACAACCCAAAATAATGACTCATTGCTCGATCGTTATGAAATTGCTATATCAAAAATTGCACAAACCCCATCGAACATTTTACTTGGTGCATTTTTTAGGATACGGATAACCATTACTTTAAAAATAACCTTAGCTTTGACAATTTTATAGGTAGTGAAAAAAGATGACAAAATATTTTTTATGATTAAAAAAAATCATATTCCTTCCCCCATAACCCACTAGATACCCCGCCATGTCATGCTCTAATTGTTCCTATTAACATCCTTGCCACAACTTATAAGACCACTTATTTATGCAGCAGGCAGGGATTATTTTTTGCTTAAATGCATAAAGTGCAAAGCAAAGCATGTTTGACAAACTAGAAAGATCATGGCTTGCATATCAATAATAGTCATTTAACTAGTCAAACTTACATTAGATAATACTTTTCAACAAATATAATGACATATCCAAGAACACAAATCTCATAAAAGAAAAAAGATCAAAGATATAAATAATAAAGTGATAAAATATTATCTTAAAACTCAATAATACTCGTTAGATTGAGATATCAACTAAAAACTTAGAGTTAGAAGCAAAATTAAGTGGGACGGTGTGAATGGGAGGCATCAAGAAGCATTCTCGAAAATAATGCTTGTTAGCTAAAAGCTCCAACAACAATAACCAATGAGAAGAGTATCATGAAACTAATGGGTGACAACGCCTTGAAAGGAAATTAAAAATAATGAGCAGTGACCTAGTGATCAAAAAAAGGAAAATTTGCATACGTAGCACACAATTCTTATGCATTTACATATCTCACATCTAAACTTTCATATTTACATACATTGAACACTGGTGCTTTAAGCTTATGCATGAAAATGTATATTTCACCTTTAAAAAATAGTAATGGTGTTATTTTTTAAGTGATATTAAATATTTGAGTACTATTTGCGAAAATATGTAATTTTAGGTGTTAGAAATATAAATACATGAGAATTGTGTGCTCTGTATGTAAATGCCCCCATGAGAAATAATAAGCAAGCATTCTTGCCACAATTCTCTTGCCTAGTTATTGCAGCAGAGGCTAAATTGAACCACAATGCTCTTGCCTAGTTATTGCAGCAGAGGCTAAATTGAACAATGAAATTTGAACACAAAAAAATTGTTCTGAGCCAAAGCTAAGCATGCAATGGAGCAACGCACTAGTTGAAGCTGTGCAAAGAGTCAGTGCATCACATCATCTCATATAAATCTAAGAGATTTCTATAACTCAACAATCAATAGCTGAAATAACCACTCTCAGAATCCTCGGCATCTTCTAGCTTTATATACAACAATAACTATTACCTGCTTACTAAGTTTTGTTAGAAATTACAGAAAGTCAAATGTTTTTCTCAAAAACCACTAGGCCAAAACAGAATCAAATTACTCATACATATTCGACACAAATCATCAAAGAAACACCTGCAACCCTAGGATCTTAAATACTAAAACCAAGCAAGGAAGGATTTATATGTTGGCAATCAAAAGTAAAAATCATGCAACACATCATCCAATAACCTACAGCACATCCAAAACAAAAGCCCGCCAATAAGATCACCTAAATTTTCTGAAACAATACAGAAAATCAAACACGGAAGAAAAAAAATGTCCGAATATGGGCATACCTTCTTCTCCCCAAGAAAGTTACGAATCTCAATGGAAGAATTAGAGTTAGCGATGCTGGCATTGATGGGAAAGTGTGCATACACGAAGCGCATCTTATACCGGTAACCCTTAGTCACACCGGTGATCAGATTCTGAACATGGCTGATGGCCGTGCGGATCGCCGCCGTCGCCTTCCGGGATCCGAACCAAGCGTCCACCTTGAGCTTCTTTCCTCCCTCAACAAGTTCAAAGTCGAGGTTAAGGTGCTTGAAATTGCGTGTAAGCTTGCCACGAGGTCCCTCCACCTCTACAATTTTAGCTTTAACATTGACGGTGACTTCTTCCGGAATATCCACCGTTTGAGACGAGAGGATCGTCTTCATCGCGCCGTCGAAGAAACCGAAGCGGAAGAGAGATGGTGGACGAGAGGAAGACAATCGGACTATGGTAATGTTCCGGTGGTTGAGAAAATAAAATACATACCCACTCAATTTTATATATTTACATATCTACCCGCCTAAACCTTAATTTTAGGTTGCACTTTAAAAAAATTAAATTATGATATTTTTTTATGTCAGATGATATAAATACAAAATAAATAAGTTTTAGGTGCTATTCATGTAAATATTTTAAAGGAATAAAAAAACAAGATTCACATATATATAGTTGATGATGCATACCACTCAATTCTGTATATAACTACAAGCCAACAAAGATTTATAATCAATTATGATTATTAATTAAAAAATATTATAAAAATATATTAAATCATATTTAAATGAAGTTTGAAAACAAATAATAAGATTTAAATCTAGATTATTAATAGCTTATGACTGGGTGATCAAGGTTGTCAAAATGACTCTATGTTTGTCATAAGCTCATGTTTGGCTAGTTAAGCAAACGAGTCTAACACGAACACTTTCTTTTTGTTCAAGATATGAAGGAACCGAAAACGAATAATAATATTTTTTAGCGAGCTGAACATGAGTTGATTCTTAACTCGCTCGTGTTCTGCTCATTTACAACCCTACTTCTGATATTTTGGTATTCAGACCTACTGGAATATACGAATTATTTTAAGGGAGAAAAATGAACAGGTATGAAAGATTTTTTTTTTTTTTTCTATAAAAATCATGGGGCTTGCAAACATCTCAGGTGAGTTTTATAATTTATGATAATATTTTAATCTTCATCATCAGACATGAATGTCGAGATAGTTTTTTTAGCAGGAAATATTCAAACCTCAATAAATATTCATTCAGAACTCCAATTTCAAAAAACTTATAGTCAAACTAACTAGCTCGACAAAAATAACCCAATGTTACCAAATTAGTTAAATCAGGCTAAATTCAAGACATTAAGCCGCACTTGGAAATTTTTCTGACATATATATAAGGATAAAACGAATGGCGAATCTAGCAAACCTATAGTCGACTTGGGGGTCTCAACAAGAAAATTTCAACGAGCTCAAGATTGCTCGATTCCGACATCTTTAAGACTCTCAAATATCCATCAAACGCTCACAAATAAAACGAAGTTCTCTGGACCGTCTCATTAAAGTGGTTCATATTTTTGCATTAATTGCAATCAGAACACTATAAATAGAGCCTCACCCATTTCATGAGAGGAGGGGGGCAGGCTTGAGCAAAAAGCTTAAAGGTTTGAGAAGGAGAGTAAGTCCAACACCACCACCGATTGGACCAGCTTTGATTGTTGTTGACCTCCACCGACAGTCCGGACCCCCGGTGACCATCGTCGATCACTACCACTGATCGGACTCCACCAGTCGACGTTGTAACTAAGAAAACCTAGTAACTCTTTTATGTCTATGGAATAAGGGTTCACTGTAATCAATAATCTAGCTTCATTTACGGATTTTCCACTTAAAAACTTATGATGTCATCTCTGATTGTTTTCTATTACCAGAGTGTATGCTAAATTCTACTGTAATGCGAATTTTCTAGCACACATCAATAGTGAAATTTAGATGATAAATTTCTACCCGCCTAAACCTTAATTTTAGGTTGCACTTTATAAAAATTAAATTATGATATTTTATGTCAGATGATATAAATACAAAATAAATATGTTTTAGGTGCTATTCATGTAAATATTTTAAAAGAATAAAAAACAAGTGCATACCACTCAATTCTGTATATAACTACAAGCCTACAAACATTTATAATCAATTATGATTATTAATTAAAAAATATTATAAAAAATATATTAAATCATATTTAAATGAAGTTTGAAAACAAATAATAAGATTTAAATCTAGATTATTAATAGCTTATGACTGGGTGATTAAGGTTGTAATAACTATGTTTGTCATAAACTCGTGTTTGGCTAGTTAAGCAAACGAGTCTAACACGAACATATTTTTTTGTTCAAAATATGAAGGAACAGAAAACGAATAATAATATTTTTTAGCGAGCTGAACACGAGACGAGTCTTAACTCGCTCGTGTTCGGCTCATTTACAACCCTACTTCTTATATTTTGGGATTCAAACCTACTGGAATATACATATTATTTTAAGGGAGAAAAATGAATAAGTATGAAAGGTTTTTTTTTTTCTATAAAAACCGTTGGGCTTGCAAACATCTCAATTTTCAGGTGAGTTTTACAATTTATGATAATATTTTTATCTCTTCAATTATGATCGTGTATTATATTAAACTATAGCGTTGTATTATTTAGAAAAATTAGCTGCTATTTGTAAAACTAGAATTATCATATCTTCGTCTTTTCACATTTTCTCAGAGTAAAATTTTAATTTTTGTTTAAAAAATTTCGTCCGACAAATCTCCATCATTGGACATGAATGTCGAGGTAGTTTTTTTAGCAGGAAATATTCAAACTTCGATAAATATTCATTTAAAACTCCAATTTCAAAAAAAACTTATAGTCAAAATGAACAGCTTGACAAAAATAACCTAATGTTACCAAAATTAGTTAAATCAAGCTCAATTCAAGACATTAAGCCGCACTTGGAGGCTTTCCTGACATATATAGAAGGATAAAACCAACGACGAATCTAGCAAGCTTGTAGTCGACATGGGCTTCTCAATAAAAAAAATTCAACGAGCTCAAGCTTGCTCGATTCAGACATCGTTAAGACTCTCAAATATTCATCAAACTCCGACAAATAGAAGAAAGTTCTCTGGACCGTCTCATTAAAGTGGTTCGTATTTTTGCATTAATTACAATCAGAACACTATAAATAGAGCCTCACCCATTTCATGAGAGGAGAAGGGACAAGCTTGAGAAAAAAACTTAAAAGTTTGAGGAGCGTAAGTCCAACACCAGCACCGATTGGACCAACTCCGATCGTTGTTGACCGCCACCGACAATCCTGGATCACCGGTGACCATCGTTGATCACTACCACTGATCGGACTCCACCAATCGTCGTTGTAACTTAGAAAACTTACTAACTCTTTTCAGTCTATGGAATAAAGGTTCACTGTAATCAACAATATAACTTTCTTTACGGGTTTTCCACATAAAAACTTATGATGTCATCTCTGATTGTTTTCTTTTACCTGAGTGTATACTAAATTCTCCTGCAATACTAAAACCAATTTACCTTCGTGAATTTTCTAGCACACATCAATAGTAAATTTAGATGATAAAATTGTAGTATCATAAGAAATTTGTGATTTGCATGTTTGTTCGTCTAAAAAAAATAATTTATAAAAGCATCCCAAAATATTTACATGCATAACTCACAATGTTATATATTCATATACATAACACCAAAACATTCTTATATATATTCATCTTCACAAAAGAATAACTCGTTAGTTAAACTAGCAAGTTTCTTCTGCTTCCAGCAATGAGATTAGAGTTCCTCCGCAGAAGAATTGCACTCCCAAACTGCGCCATTTTCCGCACCATTTTCGCTTTTGGATCGAAATCCATCCTCTCCCTTTCTTCAATTGACATTCCAAATTCTCAAACCCTAACGGAAGGATCTGAATGCAGGGAAGCTCCCGGCGACTCTCTGTCGTCGAGAGTGGAGAGGCTTCAGTGCGGGGAGCCGATTATCTCTGCCTTTCAGAGCTGGATGCGAGACGGATTCGCCGTTCACCGAGGACAAGTGTTCCACGCCATCAATCGGCTGAGGAAGCTCCGCTTGAGCAAAAGAGCGCTCCAGGTTAGTTGCCCACCATATGTTCGATCGAATGTCTGAAGCGTAAGGGGATGTATGGAAACGGATTTAGACAACGATTTAAAAGCCGGATGTAAGCGAAACTTGCCAGACGGTGCAGATATTTAGAAATTGGTGCTGTTAACTGGGAAAATAGAGACCAATATTTGCTTACATTTCATTATTCTGATGGTTTCATATAGTTTCCATCATCACATGGTCATCATGAAAATTTAGTTTTCATAAAATCAAATGTGCTTAAAAATTTCACTTTTTTTCAGTTCATGGAATGGATTATGAGGGAGAGGCCTTATAAATTAAAAGAACTAGACTACGCTTATCTGTTAGAGTTCACTGCCAAGGTTTATGGCATCTCAGAAGCCGAAAGCCTATTTCTTCGAATCCCGCATGAGTTTCACAATGAATTGCTCTACAACAACCTCGTCTTGGCCTGCTTAGATAAAGGCCTAATAAGACTTTCTCTCAATTACATCCAGAAAATGAGACAATTATCTCTCCCCATTTCTCCTTATGCTTACAATAGATTGATTATCCTCCACTCACCTTCGAGCCGTAGAAAAAGAATCCCCAAACTCCTCAAACAGATGAAAGCGGATGGAGTTCCACCACACACATCTACTTACAACATTCTCCTGAAAATCGAAGCTGACGAGCACAACATGGAAGGTATTTCGATGGTTTTTAATGAAATGTTACGAGCCAAAGTTGATCCCAACGAGATCACATATGGAATTATGGCCATGGCTCATGCTGTAGCGAGATTGTACACAGTCTCGGAGATGTATGTGGAAGCCATTGAGAAGATAAAAACTGGTAAGAACTGGTCCACATTGGACATCTTGCTCATCTTATATGGCTATCTGAGGAAAGAAGATGAGCTGAAGATGAGCTAGAGAGGACATGGAAGCTTGTTGGAGCTCTTCCTCATGTAAGATCCAAAAGCTTTTTAATCATGATTGAGGCATTTGGAAGAATGAAACGTGTTGATAGGGCCGAAGCGATATGGGAGGAGATGAAGTCGATGGAGCTGGTGAAGAAGACAAGTCAACATAATTCCATTATTTCTGTGTACTGCAGACATGGATTGGTAGACAAAGCATCAGCATTGTTTGAAGAGATGCGAGAAAGTGGGTGCGAACCGAACGCGATAACGTATCGCCACCTCGCGTTGGGTTGCTTAAATGCTGGTTTGGCTGAGGAGGCTTTGAGGACTTTGGAGTTGGGAAGAGATGAGGAAGTGAGCTCTCGGGTGAGGAGATCCACACCATGGCTTGAGACCAATCTTATGTTAGTTGAAGCTTTTGCTGATATTGGTGATATAATGAATGCTAGGAAATATTTTAGAGTTTTTAAGGAGACGAAGTATTGTAGATATACTTTTGTGTATAATAGTCTTCTGAAAGCTTATGTGAGGGCCAAGGTTCATGAGCCTGAATTTCTGGGAAATATGATACTCGCGGGAGCTAGGCCGGATGCTGAGACTTATAGTCTCCTGAGAATTTTGGAGGAATTTAAGGTTTAATGTACTTTTATTGTATTTCCTTATAACAATTATACAGCATTTATCATGAACCGTAGTTTCAATTTGTGAGCAAGTAAAATGTGCTACTTTCTAGAAAGTATTACAAATATATCCCTGCACATATGTGACATTTTTTAGCATATTTAGTTGGATTAATGAACCAAACGGATCAAACTAAGGAGAATTGGCTTTGATTGACCTCTTCTCCTTCTTCACAGTCAGATTGTTCAAGCGGAAGATAGGGACTAACTTTGTCTATTAGTGTATTGTTGTTATTGTGCAATTTTATCAAGTAATTTTTTGAATTTTCTGGCATCATATGTGAAAGACAAATATTGTTGAAACTATTCACATCAGCACAATCAATGAAATTTTCATTGGTCACCTCCATTGGACTCATGATGAAACTTTTGTTTTTACATATATATACCACCTTAACCATGCATGAAAAGATTTACTCACTTTTTAAAAGTTAAAATAATGGTATTTTTTTATGTTATATGAAAGATTTGAGTGGTATAAATGTAAAAAATGAAAGTTGGGAATTCTGGGAACTCACATAATATTTCTTATGTTTTCGCATATCTCTGAAGCCTAAGTTTAGTTGGATTAATGAACCAAACAGATCAAACTAAAGAGAATTGGCTTTGATTGACTTCTTATCCTTCTTCACAGTCAGATTGTTCAAGCGGAAGATAGGGGCTAACTTTTGTCTATTAGCGCATTGCTGTTATTGTGCAATTTTATAAAGTAATTTTTTGAATTATCTGGCATCATATGTGAAAGAACTGGCATCATATGTGAAAGACAAATATTGTTGAAACTATTCACATCAGCACAATCAATGAAATTTTCATTGGTCACCTCCATTGGACTCATGTTGAAACTTTCGTTTTTACATATATACCACCTTAACCATGCATGAAAAGATTTACTCACTTTTTAAAAGTTAAAATAATGGTATTTTTTTATGTTATATGAAAGATTTGAGTGATATAAATGTAAAAAATGAAAGTTGGGAATTCCGGGAACTCACATAATAATTCTTATGTTTTTGCATATCTCTGACGCCTAAGCTTATTATATTTTTACATATATGACATCTTATCTATGCATCAAAATATGTATTTGTTTTTTTTTAATGTTAATAAGTAAAAAATGAAAGTTGGGAATTCTGGGAACTCACATAATATTTCTTATGTTTTCGCATATCTCTGAAGCCTAAGGGCTTGTATGTAAATGCCCTTTTTTTTCATTTTCCTTCTCTTTTATATGTAACTGGCATTCCACAAGTTATAAGGGGGGGTGCAGAGAAATTAGAGGGGATATTTAAAGGACTTCCTCATTTGTTTGTTTAGATCTTAATAGGGGCATTTACATACCTACCACAACATATCTAACACCCAAAGCTTAATATTTAAGGACTACCACCTACTTTTAAAAAGTTAAATAAACATATTCATGTACAGATTTGCCACACCAAAGTATTATAAATATAAATATAAAAGTTTTGATGTTATGTATGTAAATAGATAAAAATGGCATGGTATGTATGTAAATCTCCCTCCCTTTTTTATATTAATGAATTGATAGTTTCTTAATGCCTAGCTTCTTGCTTGCCTTCTCAATAAGTTGGTTATTCGGTCTCAATCTATGATGCATCTATTCAGAGGTGAGGATATGAACACAATATGATATGAATAAGAGACGGCCCCTATTATTAATCATTATGTTACTTTAACATGTAATACTAATCATGAAGATGAGCATAAAGATACCAACAAAAATCAATAATGAGAATACTAAAAAGATTGGTCCCGTGAGAAAATGGTGGGGCGTGATGTGTTAAATGGTCCCACCGTAATATACTTTTTTGAGGGTCACTTGACACGTGACACCCCACCATTGGAGTCTTAAATAAAGAGAAAACATAATGGATTCAACTGAAGTGAAGAAGAGAGAAGAAAAAACTATATATTTTATGATGACTCCAATGAAGACCCCATAAAAGATAAGAGTGTTGAGGGCTTTTAATCATTTATTATATTCTTATTTGAATATTTGAATATTGTTGGGTATGAAAATATGAGTGAGAAAAATTTATGAGGATAAACTTATTTTATGACTTTGCTTTTATAATTTATAGTAATTTCATTTGAGGACTCATTTAATGACTTATTTTGGTTTGATGAATTGATGAGAGTGGTTTGCACTACATTTTTGCTTTGTGCTTTTTGTTGCATCTTATTTTGTAGTTTATGTAATTTATTATTTGATATAGGTACAATTTGTCATTGTCCTTACTATATTAGGATGTTAAAAAATCATATTTTAATATATTTATGATGCTTATATATTAATTTTCATCTTTATTTGCAATTTTCTTGCATTGAGATTTACATTTCTAGAGGCTTACGCTTTACCTCATAATAAAAAAAAAATGTCTTAATACCCGATCACGCAATTTTAAACATTGGTTAGGATTATAAAATCTTGGATTGAAAAACAATGAAATGTATCGGCAATGCTAAACCATAAGATGATGAGCAATCACAAAACTAATGGTTATTGATAACCATTAGTTTCAATAAAAATAACCTTAACTTTGGTAATCCGGGCTCACATGAATATTAAGCTTTGATATTGGGTTTTGTTAATCAAAGCCAGCCAAAACAGGCTAAACCGGGGAAGGAGCTGAAGATCTCCTCATATCTCCAAATACAGTCACAATATTGAAATTACTCAGGTGTTCAATCACCGAAGTGTATTCCACCATCTTAATATCGAATAACCTCTTCATCATAAAAAACCTTATTTGAAGCAGAATATTTTCAATACATCTTTGTTAGAGTTGTCATGAGATTCATCATAGTTTTCTCATTCATTAAATTGAATGCAACAAATGAGAAAAGATAAAAGACGAGTCAAATTTAGGATCGTTCGATCCCACACTTCCCATTATTAAAGAGTTAGAATTTCAGTATTCTTCGCGGCTCCACGCAATGACAAGTACAATTTCTTTTGATAAAATAAATATTTCACTTACATTCTTCAAAACACGAAGTTTGATCAATTGAACTTCTCTACTTTGTCATTGTTTCGTCGGTCATTGCTCCCACTCGAACCAAACATATCTAGAAAAGAAAATCCTGCTCTAATATCACTTGCTAGGATGGATCATATCGAGGACTTAAAAGATCAATTTACCACCAAAACCACACAACTTGATCGCACAAGAGAAGTAACATTGAAATCCATGCTCTTGACCTTTACTAGTGCAAGCACCATCGAGAGTTCCACACAAAATGTTCTATTCACACATCCTTTGCTTTGATACGGAGCCTTATAAACTAAATTAGAGAAATCGTCCCAACGAGGTAGGTACGCCCAAAAGAGGCGCAAATATTTTTCTCACTTGGGAAGAAAACCTGGAAGGATTGAATCCGCAGTGTGGTTGCGTCGTTATTTGGCTTAGGTACGCCATCTGACATAGCTACGCCTGAAACTGGCGTGGCTAGCTAAGCTTTCTATGCATAAGGGCGTTGTTGCAGGCTTCCTTGCGGCTGTGTGAGCGGTTCCAAGTTCCACATGTCAACATGATTTTGCACAAAGCATAAGGAAAAAAATTCCAGATAAAAAAGAATTATAGATAATACAAGAATGAAGTTATACCTCATTCAAGAGTGGAATAAGTTCAAAACATAGGAAATCAAACTCTTTCTTTCTTTAAAGCAAGTAGGGGTGTCATATTGGGTTCGTGGTTGGGTTTAATTCCGACTCCAAAATTAACCCGGACCAAAATTGATTGACCCGAATGTTAGACGGAACAAAATTTCCAACCTGAACTCGTCTTGCCTTTTACTCGCTAACCGGAACCCGACCTGTATAACCCTTTTAATATAAGACAAAATTAAAAAAAAAAAAGCAGAGAATTTTCTTATGTGGATGTTCTGCCAGCAAAAAATTTTACATAAAACTTGAAAGAAGTAATTACAAGAAACCATTAATGTCTCACAGAAATTAAAAAGAATACTAAACCAAGACCTTAACTAAACAAAGTTAAGGCAAGCTAACACACAGAAGAAAGACAACTAAAAAAGCAGCAAATAAAAATTAATTGAATCATTCAGCCAACGAAATCCTTTAGCCATCCAGATTTAACTCTTCTTCTGAATTTTCTCTACCCCTTGAACTCTTCATCAACCTGACTTGCTCTCATAGCAGTTCCCGTCTGAGCAGACACAATCATAAGCTAGCATTCACCTAATAATGGAGTCGAAGGAAGATCAGTCCACTCAAAACTGAGTCATTTTGGCTTTGTTAAAGTTCCAGTCCCCAAATGCCGCAGCAGTAGAATGTACAGAATTCAATCAAACCATCATCTGCAAAGGCACAAAGACATCCATCCAACATAGGAGCCCTGGAATTCAAGAGCTTTCAGATAAAGCAATGAACTTTAGTTCCCATCATCATTATTTGGAAGGTACTGGCAAAACAGCAATGAACTTTAGTTCCCAAATATCAAAGTTTAGGGGTGAGATATGTAAATCCACAATAATTGAGTGCTGCGTATGTAAATTTGCCTTGAATTTTTATATTTTTATTGAAGTTCTATTTGTTATTGATCAGAATTAGGAATCCTGACACATTAATAACTAAATACTTGAGAAGAAAAAAAGATAAAGAATATAAATCACCAAAAGGAAAAATACCGAGAACATATCAACTGAATGAAGCCGCAGATCATATCAAATCACATAAATAACCCTAACACCCATAAAATCATGTCAAATACATAACTTCATTTTTTATGCATACCACTTACTTCCTATATATTTACATATTTACCATCTGCATTTATGTTTCCCATTTATACCAACAAAATCTTTCATATCACATAAAAAATATCTCCATTTAAACTTTTAAAATAATGAAATACATTTTTTCATGCGCAGGTGGGATGACATGCATGTAAATATTTCATTTTAGGTGTTTAGATCTGTAAATACATAATAAATGAGTTGTATGTACGTAAATATATCAAGAATCAAATTAATAAAGAATATATCCCACTCCCATGAGCAAATCCAAAACAGGTAAAGTAAAATCTGTAAAATAAATTAAAAACAACAAAACATCAATTAACTCAACTTTGGATTAGATTAATATCAACCTGACATTCCTCATACCGGATGCATGATTTATATGAAAATAAGTATATAAAAATAGTTCTTGCTTACTGATGGGAACAACATAAATTATGTGTACAACAGCGATGTACATGAAGTCCGGATGCATCACGACTCCGAGTCTGCATGTAATATTCTTTCATAAATCACACAAAGCATAAAAAAGCAGTATTCGTTGGAAAAGAATTAAATGGTAATTTATGGTTACCAACATTAGTTGTTTCTCTTCTTGTATTTTATTGCCCTGAGTCTTGAATGCTGGTGAGCAACATATTGATGCTTATTTTACAACCACCCATCAGAACCTGAATACTCTTTATTGCGCTCCAACAACTCTGGATGACAACCACTGATTGATAGAAATTTCACGGAGGGAGGAGGATCTGGTAATTCCCGAAGTTTGCAGACTTCAAGAATACTAATGTGAGTTAGAGAATAAAGATTAGAAAAGCATGAAGGCAGGCAATCCAGTTGATCAAGCTTCTTTAGAGTCAGGTCAGACAAAGAGGGCGGGAGGTCTGGCAGTGATTTGAGGTTGGGAATGCTTTCTAGGGATAGATACTCAAGGGATGAGACGTCCAACAAAGAAGATGGGAGGCACTGCAACGATTCGAGATTCATAAGCTCTAATCGTCTGAGAGTGGTGGGGATCTTCGGAGGGAGCAATTGGAGCTGAGGAACCATTTTAATATCTAGAGATTCAAGTGAAGAATAGGACAAAGAAATTGGCAGCCACCGCAATGATTCGAGATATTCAAGCCATAGAGATTTCAGAGAGGCTGGGATTTCAGGCAGCAGCCGGAGCAGAGGAACTTTTTCCACACGTAAAATTTCAAGTGAAGTGTCGACACTAAATGATGGAAGCCTCTGCAATGATTCGAGATATTCAAGTCTTAGATGTTTCAGAGAAGCAGGGATTTCAGGCAGTAGCCGGAGCTGAAGAACATCTTTCACATGTAGAATTTTAAGTGAAGATTTGGAAAAAGAAAGTGGCATGTGTTGTAATGATTCAAGAAGTTTAATCTCTAAGTGTTCGAGAGAGGCGGGGATTTCAGGAAGCAGTCGGAGCAGAGGAACTTTTTCCACATGTAAAATCTTAAGTGAAGAGTCTTCCCTAAATGATGGAAGAATCTGCAATGATTCGAGTCTTTCAAGCCATAATTGTTCCAGGGAGGAAGGGATGTTAGGCAGTTGCTGGAGCTTAGGAGCATCTATTATATATAGAATCTTAAGTGAAGAGTCATCCCTAAAAGAGGGAAGATCCTGCAATGATTCGAGTTTTTCAAGCCTTAAATGTTTCAAAGAGATGGGGATGCACGACAACATCTGGAGCCTGGGAACATCTATCATATGTAAAATCTCAAGTGAAGAGAAATAAGGGAGGGACTCAAGATTTTGAAGCCTTTCCAAGTTCAACTCACAAAGGTACCTAACTTTCTGAAACCACTGCTCTGCCCCAGATGGAAATGAAATCATCGGACAATCCCTAATTTTGAGCAATCTAACGGACTCAGTACTTCTCAATGGCTCCATCAGCAACACGGATAGATCGTTCATAACTTCTGCCCTCACTTTTTCTGCACTCACTCTTTCTACACTCACTCCGTACTTGTAGCTCAAAGTCATAATTCTTGAGAAATACTTTAAATTGCCGCAATTTTGAAGTAAGATATTACAACAGCTGTTGTTATTCTTTAGAAAGTCAAAAGATTTCCACGTAATGTTATTCAAATTCAATCTATTGAGCTTAGGAGGTAAATAGGACAACTCCTGCAATTTTGGGCAGTCTTTGAGGTAGAGTTCTCTTAAGCAAGGAAACAAACAGTTATCTTTTGCTGCTTCTGCATTAAACCAAACCTCCAAGACTTGTAAATTTTCAATATGCAACAACTCTAGTGATGGAAGGGTACAAACCTTTGGATCCTGATGAAATTTATTATCAAGCTGCTCTATTTTTGGCATGCTAAGAAGAGTTATGAAGGTAAAGATACTTGAGACGAGGAAGCTGCCCAAAAGGTGGAAGAATTTCCCAGTTCAAACACTTATCGAGTCTGATGTATTCTACATTAAAGATCGAATTGTCTTTGTTCAACCATAAAGTAGACCCTGCACCAATGTGCGCATGCATCAACAATTCCTTTATGTTGTTGGGTGGTTCAAGTTTTTCAAGCCTCACCACTTCTAAATCTGAATCTGGTTCCACTTTTTTTGATGTTCTACTTTTCTTATCTATTTGAAGATTTGTAAATAGATGTTGGAAGTTGGTTTTCTCATCCGTGCGATCATAGAAACCCCATTCAAAGGTACCACTTCTTTCCTTATCTATGCGATCATAGTCACCCCAATATAAGGACAAATGTGTGCGCTTTTCCTTATAATCTAATTTGTCACTGATAGAACATGGTCTTAGCAAATCGTTTCTGAAATTAGAATTCATTGGATTCCTCACTTTTTCTATTCGACAAATGTCATTCGAATGTTTCAGCTCCCAAATCTTATAACCATTCTTAATCCTAACATAAAATCCATCCAATTTTTGAAGTGACTTTAAATTCCTATGTACAAACTTCCCAGGCAATTTTAGGTAACGTAGTTTTGAAAGGTTGCTCATATCTTCTGGGATGAAATCATCAGAAAATGCACATTTAGGTACTGAATTAAAGATAAAAAACTGCAAATGATAAAGATTGCAAAGAGCCTTTGGTAGCAGAGTGATAGGGGTTCTATAAAAATTTAAGTATCTGAGATGTATCAAATTTTTTATTAACTCAGGCACCACTTTCAAATATGGAAAAGACAAGAATAACACACGAATGCTTCTCAATGCTTTGAAACCTTCAGCAAGTACATCCATTAAATTTTCATCTTGATCTTCTCGACAGGTCAAAAAAAGCGAACGTAAATGTTTCAATTTTGTAATCTCTCTCAGCATATCTAGATTTGTAATGTCAACAAATAAGTGTCGAATAGTTTCAGGAATTTCAAAAGATAAATCTTTATTCTCCACAAACCTAAAACATTTTTTCTGAGAAACACCCCGTGCTAATGCATGTATTAAGTCATGCATCGTATAAAATGTCGAGTTTTTCTTATCAAAAAAAGATATTTTGACCAAAGTATCAAAATACCATCTTCCCATATCTTCGATAGTGTCTCCTGGGTTAGAAGGCGGCTGGACAAAATCCAATGCAATCCACATTCGAACCAAATCATCTTTATCAAATAGATGACCTTGTGGGAATATACCACAGAATGCGAAACAATTTTTTAAAGGTTCTGGGAGGCTGGAATAGCTCAATCTTAAGACTGTAATGATTGTATTTTTATTCTGGCCAGGCGGTGATGGTAAGCTTTCAATATTTTTATTCAAACCTCTTTCCCAATGCTTCGGAGTCAATTCAGACTTCAGAACACAGCCAATGACCTTTGCGGCCAAGGGAGAACCGGAAAGCTTTTTAACTATCTCTTCAGCAATGCACTCTAACTCATTATGAACACGGCTACTGTTTTCTTTAACACCGAATGCACCGAATGCATGAGTCCGGGTTGTTACCAAAATTTTACCTCCCAAACTTCCCTTAGCCAGAGGGGAGAGCACATTCCCCCATTTGGTAGTACTCCCCTCCTCCCAAACATCATCCAGAACAAGCAAAAACTTCTTGGACTGCATCACAAATTTAAGTGTATTTTGAAGAGGAGGAAGTTTCATTAAATGAGGCTTCCATTGATTAAGATATTTCAACATATCAGTAATGACTTCTTCCTCTTTAAAGTTGTTGGAAACACACACCCAAATCTTAAGGTCAAATTCCTTTTTCACATCTTCAAAGACATGTTGCAAGAGAGTCGTCTTCCCCATACCACCATGACCAACTATAGACAAAAGAGAAATGTTGTTGTATAAATCAGAGTCACTTGGATCTTGATTTGATGGCTGCCCCAACCACTTTATAACATTAGCTTTTTCCCTACCCCGACCGATGAAAATAGGTCCGGGGTAGGATCCCCTTTCACGATCGTCGGAAGCCGACTGCTGCCGCTGCTGCCTTTTCTCTTCTGTGTATTTTAAAATTTGAAAAAAATTACTCACCTCAGCCGAAACTTTATCGAGATTCTGCACAACCTCCTTCAATCTCTTCAAGTTGGGATCATCTTGGAGAACACCATCCCCAACTCTGCGAAATTTGAGAGCCAATTCCCAAATGAGCGGAGGGATGAAGCCTCGTTTTTTTGATTCAGTTTTTTCCACGTTGGGTCTGGCTAGCTGCTCTTTAAGCCCCAAGTACTGAAACTCCTCGAGCAAATCATTTGCATCATCAATGGCATCTCGTAGCCGCTGCATCCACTCATCCAGTGCCTCGCTACAATCTCTGATCTGTGCTTGGTTGGAAGCGGAGACCACATCTTGAATCTTATTTCGGTAAATCGCGGTCCCCTCGCAGCCTATCCAGCTCCTCCTCCACGCTCGTCTGCGATCCGATCCGATCTTGAAGGTACTGAAAGCAAGAGTCGATGATCGCATCCATCATTTTGTCAACCAACCATGTTGCCATCGCGCCGACGATCAACACAGAACACAGCAACCGAAGAGGAGGAGAGACGGTGGAAGAGAGGAGGAAAAGATACTGGGATTTCGGAACTTGGATAAAGGCCCTGTGCCCTCCCGACCCCGCCAGTCGGGACGGCCACCGGCCGTCACGTTGTTAACAGGACGTGATATATTTTTGTCGTGATAGAAATATAAAAAAAGAAAAGAAAATACAAACCCACTCAATTGCATATATTTACATATCTAACACCTAAACTTTAATTTTTTGTATCACTTCCTAAAAACGTAGGAATTGACTCCTATGTTTGTAAATACTCAACATAATAAAACAAAAATTTACATGCATATCACATTTTTTTTTTTTTTAAGTCAGAATAGACCGAATCTATTATACGAGCCTCCAGTCACTTTTAATAAGCCTAATAATACGAGTACAATCTTTTTAAGACCAACTTTGTCAGAGAGTATTCGAACCCCCATCTAAGTTATTTTATACTATGAATGAAACAGGTCAGGATACACTACACATGCATCACTTAATTTCGTATTTACATACATATATATATATATATATAATACAAAAAATATGTATTATATTTAATATTAAAATGAAGATATTTTTATTTGATATATAAAGTTTAGTTGGTATAAATATAAAAGTTAAGATTTAACTATTAGATGTACAAATACATTAAAAATATATGATTAACTAAGACCTCCTGCAAAGTCATAGAGAGAAAACAACCTATATTTGGGTTACATAAATATACATAGTGAAATTTAGATGTTGAATATGTAAATACAAAATTTCTAGAAAAAAGTAAAAAAAAAAAACAATTCCCCAAACAGAACTATTCTGACTACCTGAAAAATAAAACAAGTAGAAAGCTGTCTGAAACAACTTACCCAACAAAAATATAACAGCATTACTATTTACCTTCTTCTTGGCCAAACATCTTGTCAAATATTACTCCAAAATTTGCCAAACCACACCAACCAAGTGACAGGGTTTCCACTCTCCGAAAAACAGACCAAAATCACAAAATGACTATTGTTACAAAAAATAGAATAAAAAACAAAGTCCATTCAAGTAGTCATACCAAATCAATTTTGATTGTTGTCACATTTAACAAAATAAATAGTAGAAATCAACCAAAGCACCAAATATACACAACAAAATTTCACTGACAACATAATGGTAGAAGTCAATTCCTAAACAGCTCCCTCTAAACTGAAATAAAACATAAATATAGAGTTCAATGAGATCTACTGGTCATCAGTGATGCTTCCCTTCTCACTCACATATATACCATCAAGAAACTTTCTGATGTCCTTGTTCTTCACATGGCATTTCTGTAATTAAAAAGAGAAATATTAATTATTTCAATTATGCAATATAATCTATTATTTGAGGCATTTACCATACGTGCCACCAATTTCTATGTATTTACACATCTAACACATAAATCATAACCTTCTGCTGTATTCGTTCCTTGGCAAGGCATTTATGCTTAAAAAAGGAATTAAATTATTTGAATTGTAAAGAAGATGCATTATTTTCTAGAGGAATTTGCATACATGCCACCCGATTCCTCTGCATTTACATATCTAGCACCTAAATTATACTTTTTACACTTATACCATCCAAATCTTTTGTATCACATTAAAAACACCACCTTTTTTAACTTCTGAAAAATAAAATACACCTCATACAAACGTGAGAGATGAGATGGCAAGCATTTATGCAAATCTTCCTATTTTTAAAGTTGGTTTGTGGTTAGAGCGATGGCATGCATTTATGCAAATCCTTCTATTTTTAAAGTTGGTTTGAAGGTAGAGCGAGAGTGATGGACCTGATTAATTAAGGCGGCAGAGCGAGAGACTAGCTCGATATCATTTCCATCAAGGATTAGCTCATCCTTGACCTTTTCAGACCTGATAATGGTCACTCCTTCAAGCATGTCCACTTTTCGAACCTGGAATGAAATAAATATCTATTAACTATAGAGAGATAATAAAAATGTGTACTGCACAATTAAGATGATTTCTTAATGGATTTTGGAAAGATTTTCCGCTTATAATAAACACAATAATGAGAACTATTAACTGGAGAATAAAATGATTTCCCACAAAAATTCAAACAAAACATATAAAGTAATTTTCTGTGCAAGTCATATATAAATAAGCAGATCATGGTATATTCAAGACAAATAATATATTTTCTTCGACGAATAAAAATGTAATATCGCATTGATTTGACTGATTGCAGTTATACTTAATATTGCATCTTCAGGGCCTCAAAGTCGTCCTAAGGATTATAAATATGAATTTTAGGTTATTAATAACCATTAGTTTAAATAAAAATAATCTTAACTTCGACAATTTTATAGGTCGTGAAAAAAGATGACACAATATTTTTAATGATTCAAAAAAATCATATTCCTTCCCCCATAACTCACTAAATTACCCCGCCATGTCATGCTCTAATTGTTCCTATTAACATCCTTGCCAAAACTTATAAGACCACTTATTTATGCAGCAGGGAGGGATTCTTTTTTGCTCAAATGTATAAAGTGCAAACCAAAGCATGTTTGACAAACTAGAAAGATCATGGCTTGCATATCAATAATAGTCATTTAACTAGCCAAACTTACATTAGATAATAATTTTCAACAAATATAAGGACACATCCAATAACACAAATCTCAACTATTCAAAAGAAAAAAAAATCAAAGATAAAAATAATAAAGTGATAAAATATTATCTTAAAAATCAATAATACTCGTTAGATTGAGATATCAGTTAAAAACATAGAGTTGGAAGCAACATTAAGTGAGAAGGTGTGAATGAGAGACATCAAGAAGCATTCTCAAAAATAATGAAAATAATGTTTGTTAGCTAAAACCATCAACAACAATGACGAATGAAAAGAGTATTAGTAAACTAATGAGGGACAAACCCTGAAAAGGAAAAGAAAAATAGTGAACAATGACTTACTGATCGTAAAACAGGAATCTTTACACAAATCTCAACTATTTAAAAGAAAAAAATCAAAGATATATATAATAAAGTGGTAAAATATTATCTTAAAAATCAACAATACTCGTTAGATTGAGATATCAACTAAAAACTCAGAGTTGGGAGCAACATTAAGTGAGACGGTGTGAATGGGAGACATCAAGAAGCATACTTGAAGATAATGCTTGTTAGCTAATAGCAACAACAACAATAACCAATGAGAAGAGTACGAGAAAACTGAAGGGGGACAAAGTGGAAAAGAAAAATAATGAGCAACTTCTTAGTGATCATAAAAAAAGGAAACTTTACATACGTAGCACACAATTCTTATGTATTTACATATCCCACATCTAAATTTTCATATTTACATACATTGCACTTTGGTGCTTTAAGCTTATGCGTGAAAAGGTATATTTCACCTTTAAAAAATAGTAATATTTGAGTACTATTTGCGAAAATATGCAATTTTAGGTTTGAGAAATGTAAATACATAAGAATTGCATGCTCTGTATGTAAATGCCCCCACAAGAAATAATAAGCGAGCATTCTTGCCACAATGCTCTTGCCTAGTTATTGCAGCAGAGGCTAAATTGAACCATGAAATTTGAACACCAAAAAATTGTTTTGAGCCAAAGCTGAGTATGCAATGGTGCAACGCACTCGTTAAAGCTGTGCAAAGAGTGAGTGTATCACATCATCTAATATAAATCCAAACAATTTATATAACTAAACAATCAATAGCTGAAATATCCACTCTCACCAAGAAAATTTGTCTGAATAAGGGCATACCTTCTTCTCACCAAGAAAGTTACGAATCTCAATCGAAGAATTGGAGTTGGTGATGCTGGCATTGATCGGGAAGTGAGCATACACGAAGCGCATCTTATACCGATAACCTTTAGTCACACCGGTGATCAGGTTCTGAACGTGGCTGATGGCCGTGCGGATCGCCGCCATCGCTTTTCGGGATCCGAACCAAGCGTCCACCTTGAGCTTTTTTTCCCCCTCAACAAGTTCAAAGTCGAGGTTGAGGTGCTTGAAATTGCGCGTAAGCTTGCCACGAGGTCCCTCCACCTCTACAATTTTAGCTTTAACTTTCACAGTGACTTCTTCCGGAATATCCATCGTTTGAGATGAGAGGATCGTCTTCATTTTTGCGTCTTGTATCTACTTCTCAGGTTCTTGCTGGTGGTGGGAAGATTGCAACTGGCAGAAGATGGTCGTCTGGAATGGAGAAGAAATCTATCAAAACCCTAGACGAACCTGAGTTTATATAGCGTTGCTTCGGGTTGGATTTCGTGTAATGCAGATGCGATTAGAACTCGGCCCTGTATTTTAAAGAGTAAGGTATTAAACATCATAAACGAATCAAAATAAAGAGCAAGCTAACATTCTTATAAGAAAACGTAAACAAGTCAAAATAAAGAAAACACTAACCCATTACATATGTATTAGCATGCAACATCTAAATTTATACTGACATCTGAATGTATTCAAAATTTAGTGCAATATTCTAACTGAGTATGAAAATAAATAGAATGAGAAAATGACATCTGAATGTATTGAGATTTCACCAACTCCACCGGCAAGAAAATAAATAGAATGAGCAAAAAAAACAACAGATATAGATGGCAGTTAAAGGCCATCTTAATTGTGACAATTACCCAAAATAACATTTACAGACATGCCACTAAATTCTGATGTATTTACATATCTAACACATACTCGAGTGATTTGGTTCAGATTCATAAATGCACTCATTTATATGCCCCTAGCTTCAGTTTTTTTTAAATTCGTTCAACTATAAATTTAAAATTCGTTCAACTATAAAGTAGAAGTACCATAGAATTAACCAAAAAGCTTAACTCCAATGGCATGAATTAGCAAATACCTCACATATAACAGAGCAAACACAGTTCAAATACTTTAATGAACATATAATATTGTATCAAATATAAAATTTTGGCATATTGACCATAAAAAAAACATATAATTTTTTGGCATATTGTATCAGATATACACTTTTGGCATGTTGTATTAAATATAAAATTCTGCAATGATTTAAATGATGCCTGATAGGAACTGTCGCCATGATTTCTATTATGGCTTCACCACAAAAAACCAGGAACCAAAGAAAATTGTTCTGTTATCTATAACATTCAATAATAAAACAAAAATCTCTGATGAAAACTTTGGCAAAACGATCAAGATACATTGATTCCATATAAATTAACATCACCTGAGAGTGGTAACCAATGACCAGCGCCCAAAAGCAAAGTAGACAGGCTTTTGTTTCTTTAAGGTATAATCCAACAATAGCAATGAATCCATCTTAACATTCAGAAACAACCAACCAGCGAAGCAGAAAATGCAATTTAGGAAAATAGAAAAATACTCTACAAGCTTCCTCTGAAGGAATCAGATAGAAAAGTGAATAGGAAAGCAACCTTGAGCCAGGAATGAGACAGGAAGAAGGATTCGAAAAAATGGAATTAACGGAAAAGAAAAAAGAAAAAAAAAACCATATACCTGCGGGAATGCCGAAGAAGCCAAAGGAGGCCAGGAACGCGGGATGAAGAAGGAATCGGAGCTGTTGAGGATCGTCGTTTGTTATCCATAAATAAAATGGAGAAGAAACAAAAAAAAAAAAGAAGGAATATTACTGCAAGACCTCCGAAGAAGAAGAACTGGAAGAACGGTGGAAGGCAGCAAAGTACTGAAGGAAGGAAACGGGGCTGGAGGAAGATTTTCGGTGCGCAGGAGGAGGCGATGGATTTCCGTGCGCGGCTAGGGCAGCGCAAGAAAGCGTTCCTTTGAAGCGGTATCCGGAAAAGGAAGAATTGCGTACATATTTGTATTTTTTTTTGGTGCTTATTCTTCTAGATATTATTATGATATGAAATTGGTGTTAATTGCATCATATCACGTCAATTAATGTCATTGATTTTTTCCGATAACTATGTTATCAGATTTAATAAAAAATATAAATTTTGCTCGTCGATAACGTCTATTTTAGCGTGGCTACCAAAATATTTTTTTTCATATTGAGATATTCATTTTCGGACACTACTTTAAAGCTTCTAAAATATAACTTTTTGATGTCTTAATTCATTAAATATTGTTAAAGATGTCCGGTAATAATCCAAATGATGTATACTCTATTATATTTAATAACAGATAGAAAAACACAGAATTCCTGACTTTTAAAGTTTTAGAAATTAGATAATGAGCTTTAATAAAATGATAAGCAATACGTTGTTTAAGAAAATATTTTCAAAGATACAAAACTCAACTATGTTCATTAAGAAACACTTTCAAATACTATGCATGGAAGTATAGACTCTGATACTTTAGAGATTGTGTCATCGTTAATCATGATGATCAGAGCATCATCATCATTAATGGCACAATATGACTCAATGAAATGCATGCAAAAAAAAAAAAATGCATAGAGTTTGTTTGGGGTGGCGGTGCGCCACTGTACTGCAATTTTATCTATTTAGGCAAATTGAGTTTTGGAAATCTGCATTGTCTCACCGCTCATCGTAAAGTGACGTGGTAGCTTTCAAGTTGTGGTTTGACTTTTTTAAAAAGTAAAAAATTTGTAATAACCAAAACAGTTTTTTGAGCATCTTATTATTATTCGCCAGTTTCACAGTTATTTTTTAATAAGCTGCAGCAATCTCAAACAAACTTTTAGTCTAATAAAATATAATAGGATTTGTATTCCATCTGCAATATTGTGTTTGTGAAGCCATTCTTAAAAATGGAAGAAGAGAGTTGACTTCCTTAGGGAGAGATTACTTGTGATGTTGAGTTTGAGAAGAAACAATATGCTCATAGGTGAGGATCACTTACCATTGCCCATGAAGAAGGATGTACATGAATTTTTATTTTCCCACCGGATATAGTCAAAATTCAAAGTTAATTTTGTGTTGACAATCTACATATAATTGTCATTTTACTAATTGTTATGGATGATTGTTCATCTAAATTAGTGCATGGAGTTGATAAATGGATTTCCATAAATCAATTGTACATGCTTGTATTCACCATGTCAACATTAGAACTATAGAGGAAAAAATCAATCCCCATCATCAATAAGTTAAGATATATGGAAGCTACTCGAGGCATAGTTAAACTACTTGTTAATCTAATCATTAATGGGAGATAAACAACTTAATTATTAATCCAGAGATAGAAAGTGACTTAATTAAGGAACATAAGGATTGTATAGTAACCATTATTGTACAAAGTTCTTTGACATGGGAAACATAAAGAGAGACGAGAAGTGTCATTAACCCAACCTTGCTAACTCACATTTTATTCATTCGTTAAGCAGACCAGACCAATACGAACAAATTTTTTGAATGGGATTTATGGAAGAGTCAAACAGGAACAACTTTTGTTTGATCGTTTTTTACTAGTTCTGGCTCCAATTAATTACAATAAATAAATAAATATGTAAAAATTAAAATAGTGGTATATTTGATAACATATAAAAGATTTTGTTTGTATAAATGTAATAAATAAAATTTACTTGTTTGATATGTAATTACAAAAAAATTGGGTGGAAAGCAAGGGATGTTGGGTACGTTTCCATCCTTTGTAAGGATTTTAAAATAAATTTAATAGTGTTATTTTGACGTTCCTTATGCTTTGAAGGCTTTCCCCAACCAAAATCATTCGCACCGAGCAAATAGAAACGGTTGCTCGTCTCTTTGTACCGATGCCCGCTTAATCCAGTCATATACCCCTAAGGTTTACCCACGAGATCATCAGTACAAGTAAAACCAGCTATGAAGGCATAATATATGGCTGGGGAAATCAAAATCCTTGAATAGTACTTGATGTAGCCTTTGCAAAGACGATCACCCAAAGTTATTGAAGCCGCTCTGATCGTGTCGCCTGCTGATAGAGAGGCATATGATATGCCTCTGTGTTTTCCTTGTTTTTCTTTAATTTATGATACATTTTGCATGTTCGGGGGGTGGTTGATGATGTCCTTTTCAACACTTTTTCATAATCTTAAAAAATGTAATGAAAAGTAAAGATTTTTTAGCACTCTTTCGTGTTCCATATTCTTATGGTATGCTCTTTGAATGATGAATTAGATGAAAACAATGAGATTGAAGAAGAGAAGCAATATCCTTTTATTGCTCTCCCATGTTGCCACATATCTTAACTATACATGAAAGAAGAATTGGCGAGATTGAAAAAAGCACAAAAAATGTACTACAAAGATGCTGATTGAGAATCAAGTAGCTCCATTATAGAAAATAGTATTGCCTGCTTAGCCCCATCTGGTCATGAAATCTGTACAGCTATTGACTACTCTTCACAATTTCAATTTTTTTTTTTTGTTAATGTTTTTTCATTGGAATATTTGCATAATTGCCACACAATTCTTAGCTTTTTGCATATATTGAACGCCTAAACTTCAATTTTTACATATATGACATCTTATATGGCAGTCTTTCTGATGTGATACGAAAGATTTGGGTAGCAATGATATAAAAAAAAGGTAAAATTTATTAGACATGCAAATATATAGCAATTGTGTGGTTTGTATGTAAATGCCCTTTCTTTTTCATTTTCCTTATATTATAAGGGGGGCGCAGAGATATTGTATTTTTTTTCATATTGAGATATTCATTTTCGGACAATACTTTAAAGCTTCTAAAATATAACTTTTCGATGTCTTAATTCATTAAATATTGTTAAAGATTTCTGCCGCTCTGATCGTGTCGCCTGCTGATAGAGAGGCATATGATATGCCTCTGTGTTTTCCTTGTTTTTCTTTAATTTATGATACATTTTGCATGTTCGGGGGGTGGTTGATGATGTCCTTTTCAACACTTTTTCATAATCTTAAAAAATGTAATGAAAAGTAAAGATTTTTTAGCACTCTTTCGTGTTCCATATTCTTATGGTATGCTCTTTGAATGATGAATTAGATGAAAACAATGAGATTGAAGAAGAGAAGCAATATCCTTTTATTGCTCTCCCATGTTGCCACATATCTTAACTATACATGAAAGAAGAATTGGCGAGATTGAAAAAAGCACAAAAAATGTACTACAAAGATGCTGATTGAGAATCAAGTAGCTCCATTATAGAAAATAGTATTGCCTGCTTAGCCCCATCTGGTCATGAAATCTGTACAGCTATTGACTACTCTTCACAATTTCAATTTTTTTTTTTTGTTAATGTTTTTTCATTGGAATATTTGCATAATTGCCACACAATTCTTAGCTTTTTGCATATATTGAACGCCTAAACTTCAATTTTTACATATATGACATCTTATATGGCAGTCTTTCTGATGTGATACGAAAGATTTGGGTAGCAATGATATAAAAAAAAGGTAAAATTTATTAGACATGCAAATATATAGCAATTGTGTGGTTTGTATGTAAATGCCCTTTCTTTTTCATTTTCCTTATATTATAAGGGGGGCGCAGAGATATTGAGGGGATATATAAAGGACTTTTGGGTATTCATTAACTTTAATCAATCAAAGAAGATTTTATGGAGGAAGACACCTAGAGAGGAAGGTAGTATTGCCTTCCTCATTTGTTTGTTCAGATCTTAATAGCGGCATTTACATACATACCACACAATTCTTATATATTTACATATCTAACACCCAAAGCTTAATATTTAAGGACTATCACCAATTTTTAAAAAGTTAAATAAACATATTCTTGTATAGATCTATCACACCAAAATATTATAAATATAAATATATAAATTTTGATGTTATATATGTAAACATATAAGAATGGCATGGTATGGATGTAAATTTCCA